TATTATTTCATTATTTTTTAGTTGAATCATTGTTATTATTATATATATTATTATTTTATTGTATGTTATAAATTAATATCGAAAATGTTGATATAATTTTTTTTGAGTTTTAAATTTTTTATACTTTTAAAAACAAATTCTATTTATATATTTCTATAGTATTTCCATATATTATTTTTAAAATTTAAAAAAAAATTTTTTTAGACTATAAATTTTTAATTTTAATTAATTTTGCTTATAATTAGTATTATTCGATCTTGAAATTTTTAAATTTAATAACAAATCATATTTTTCATAAATACTTTGTTTTATTACATTTTTATTACATTTATTATTCATCAATATATTATCATCATTTATTATTCATTATTCATGAATGCTTGAAGAGTAATTAAAAGTAATATAATGTATTAAAAATTATATATTAATAGTTATTATATATCTGAGATAATATTCAATTTATTATTTTTATTTTTATGCGCTTTAAGAAAGTTTCGATATAATTATTAATATTCGTTATAATATTAAAAATGTTATTAAAGCTATTGTTTCTGTTATAATTATATTTATAAAATTTAATTTTATTTTTATTTTTTATATATGCTATTGTGAATAAGTTAGTTATGTTAACATATATTTATGTTTATAATATTTATTGCTCTTTATATTATTTATTTTATTTTCATTATTATTTTTGTAGTCATTTTTTTCAAAAAATTTTCTTAATATATTCTTTTTTATTGTTTATTAATTCTAAATTAATTTGTTTGAATGTTATTAATTAATTATTTTTATTGTTTTGATTGTAAGTATTATTAAAAATTTTTTATTAAATAATTCATTTTATTTTATTTATAATTGTTATATTTATAAGTATTATTATTAAAGTTTTGATATGTATTAAATTATTATTTTTGTCGCATTTGAAATTTTTAATTAAATATTATTTTTGTAGTTATTATCATGTTATATGTAATGTCATTTTTTACACAAAATTTATCAATGATTTAATTAAAAATATTAAAAAATTATTTTTTTTTATAAGTATTATTTCAGAATTTTTAGTATTTATTTTATTTGAATAGTTCGATTCAAATTTTATTTTTTAATTATATTTATTAATCATTGTTGACATTTTTTTTGTAAGTAACTTTGAATGATCTTATAATTTTATCATTTATTTTTATATAACATTAAATAATTATTCTTGAAATTTTATTTTTTAGTCACTTTAAAATTTTATTCCAATTTTATTTTCAGATTACATTAATTATATTACTTATTTTGTTATATATTTTTATATAACATTAATTAATTATTGTAGAAAGTTTATTTTTTATTAACTTTTAAAAATTTTATTTAAATTTTAAATTATATGGTTAAATTTATATGATTTAAATTATATGATCATTATTTATAATATATGATATATTATATTATATTATCATTGTTAATTTTTTTTTAGTTAATAACTTTGAATAATTTTATTATTTATTTTGTTATTTATTTTCACAAAGGATTAATTGATTATTGCTGAAATTTTATTATTTATTAAGTTTGATTAATATTATTTTAAAATCATTAACTAATTATTGTAGTTGTTTTTTTATATATATATTATTTTCATTTTTATTTGTATAGTTGTTATTATTGCCATATATATTATCTTATCAGAATGTTTTTTTGTAATTATGTATTTTAAATATTGTTATAAAATGTTTATTATTATTTATTCATTTTAAATTTATTTTATAATGATTAATCTTAATATAACTAATGGATTATTATATTTGTATAATATTTTCCATTCAATTTGTTTATTTTCAAATTTAATTAAATTTTTTAATTCATTTTAAACTTATATTAGAATTTTATTTTGAAATTCTTATATAATTTATGCAGTTAAAAGGATTTATATTTTTAAAATTCAATAGTTTTATATATATATATATATGATGCCTGACATCTTTAATCTTTTAACATCAGTTTTAAAACACTACAGACATTTAATATATTTTCTAGATCTCTTATATTAATTCGGTATATTTCACGCGTCTTGTATATATGTAAATAGTTTTTACTAATTCAGTTTCTCTGTACTACGTAAGATGATATGTAATTGATGTCAAATGTATGTATAACATTTTTAGTAATTAATTTTTTTTGTATATTAATTTAATTTTAAATCATTTTGCCGGTATGAGGTTAGCTCTTCGTTCTTAGCACTATTTTGCTGCCCATTATTTTAATATTTACTTCAACATTTCAATATGTTTGACTTTTACAATCGCTAGTTTTTGTTAATAATTTGCATATCAATATTTGATTGTTCTTTGCATTTGAATTTTACTTGGGGAACAATTTTCTCAATCAATTAATAATTATAGTTTGCAGTTCTCATTCATTCCATAGATGGATGATTCGAAACGAATCATCATTGAGTTATTAAGAAAGTTCATTTGCGTGGGCGGAAGTAGGTGAAAGTAGTATATATGTATTTCGATAGTTAGTTACTGTTGTTACTTTCATAGCAAAGTATAGCAATGTAGAGTGTACTAAAGTTAATAGTTCATAAGATTTTGGGATATACAAAAGAATTTCACTATATGCAAAATTATTTAGCTCAACACTTGAGTCCATCAGTTTTCCGTTTTATTTATTAACAATCATCAAACCAATCGATTTTTTTTCAATTTCTACAATTAAATTCACTACACGATTAGTACGAATTTCTATATGATAATTCCGTTACAAAAATTTATTCTTCTAAAAGTTTTTTTTTGGAAACCTTTTTTTGTAAACATTTTGCTAAAATCATTTAATAATTTTCACTACTTTTTTAAATTTTAATTTTTTTTTGTTTTTGGAGCAATTTTTTTTCCTTCTCTTATTTTTTCTTGTTGGTTTTCCGATTTTGCAAAAAAAAATTGCTTAAATAATCGTTGTTATTTTGAATTATAAATTCAATGTTCATTTTATTTTATATTTTGTTATCTTTTAATTATTTTTTACATACAATTTTGGTAATTTTTTAATAATTTCATTTTCTTTTTAAATATAAATTATGATTTTTTTAAATAATTCTAGAAAGAGAGCTTTAAAGGGCACATACGGTTAAGCTATTATTACGTTTAATAAATATAATATTTTATTTTATTTTAAAATTTTGTTATTGATTTTAATTTATATTATTAATAAATTTTATACATATTTTTAAAAAATATTTTTGGTAAAATTGTTAGAACAAACGATTTATCAAAGCAAAAATTTATAATACAAAACGCATACAGCAAGAACGAATTATTCAAAATATGTATTAATATTTATATATGCAAAGTCTAAGATATTCAATTCCTTTATATATATTTTTAAATGCGAAAACCATATAACATCAAATATTTTTTAAAATAAAATTTTGATGAATTTTGATCAATAGTTGATAAAACAATTATCAAAAATTATTAATTGTAATTAAACTTAAGGTGGATTTATTTGTTGAGCTCCTGTTGTGATAAATTTTGGTTTCATTAATTAATTATAATTAAACTTAAGGGAAAATGACTTAATGAATTCCTGTTGTTATTTATTTCATTTTAATTATAATTAAACTGAAGGGAAAATTATTTAATGAATTTCTGTTGTAATTAATTTCGTTTTAATTATAATTAAATTGAATGAAAAATTGAGCTGCAGTAAGAGCGCGTTTTTGGAAAGAAGAGAACTTAATTTTTTTTAAGAAAAACAAAATTAATTATTTTTAAAAATTAGTTTTGTAATATAAATAATAATATTTCGTAATATTATAACTTAAAAATGATTCCTTTGGTTTTTTCTCATTACTGTAATATAAAAGAAAATTTCGGATCTTGTTTTATGTTAGTTTCCTGTAATATTTCAATTAATTTTTGTTCCATATTATCATTTGCCATTATAAATTATAAATAATATAAATTTATAACGTTTGTAAGAACGATTTATATTATTTAATTAATAATTTATATTTATATATTCTGCTTTTTAAGTTGTTTCTAAAAAATAAATGTTATATGTCTGCTCTTAACCACAGTGACATGAACTATGCAAATTTATAAATATACATATATAAATTATTATATATATATATTAATAAAATGAAAATTGAATTAATTATTTGTTATAGAAATAAAGCGGTATATTTATGTTTCTTTTTCAACTTTTGCATTTTTAACTATTTTCATTTCAATACCTAATATTAATTAAAATCTTTAATAAATTATTCATATGTATATATATCTATATATGTATTTTAAAACTTTTTGAATTGCTTTTTATTATAAGATTCTTGTATTGAATTTTTTTCTTATATTTTATTGGTTTTTTTTATATTCAAAAATTCACTAAACTGGGAATTTGTTAATAAAATTTTATATAATTACATAAGTTTTATTAATTTTTTTAGAATTTGCTATAACTAGTTCCATTTATAACTCTTAAACAAAAGCCAATGCGGTATATTTCACTATAGTTGTTGCAAACAAACTCAATATAATATTAAAAATAAAAAATAAAATTATTATAAAAATAAATTTATAATAAACAAAAAAAATTTTTACTTTATATTTGCAACATTTCAATTATTTTTCGGCTATTCTTGCGTATAAATTTCAACTAAAACATATTAAATTTATAAAAATGTTCATTGAAGCTACCAACATTGCAGTCATACTATGCAGCAATATGTGTCGTTGCTGGCAATACATACGAATAAACACCAGCAGCTGTTGGTGGTGCTGCCCCAGTGATTAAGGTTGTTGGTATGTGATGTGTCGCTGCTAATGTGGCAGCATTTGCAGCATAATGTTGTCGATGCTGTAATTGATGTTGTTGCTGTTGCTGATGCTGCTGCTGACGATGATGGTGATGATGTTGCTGCTGCTGTTGTTGTTGCTGTTGCTGATAATGCGTTTGATAGTGTGTTTGATGTTGATGTTGGGCTACTGGTGTTGCTGTTGTAACGGGTCAGGTTGGTGTCGTCATTAGAAATTGATGATGGTGGTGATGTTGCATATCACGCTCAACTTTTTTACTGAGTAAATCATGCCTTGATTCCATACCCGCTCCTCTGTAATATAAAAATTTATTTATTAAATTAATTTTCGAACTTTTAACAAATTTTAGAAAATTAATGGAGGTTTTAATTTGTTTTTGGTTTCTTTTTTGGATACTCTAGAAATAGCTTTTATTTTATATTTTCAAAAAAAAAAAAAATTATTTGAATTTATTAGAATTTTTGAGAAGTTTAAATAAACTAAACTAAACATTGTGAATATATAATTTTGTATTATATTAAAAATATTTACTTTTTAAAATGCTGAAGTTAAAAAAAAATTATTGAAATAATATTTTATAATATTTTTATATACTATTTATGCATAAAGTAAACAATAATTAATAACATTTTACTAATAATTAGTAAGCAATTATTTAAAAAAAAATGCGTTTCACAAACATACAGTCCAAAGCTTTAAAAATATATATTTATTATATATTTGAAATTAATAATTTATATTTAATAAATATTACAACTGAAAAACGATTAATTAAATTATTTAATCGTTATATGTTATTAATCATTATTAATTACTAATTAATATAAACGGATGATTTGGCAAATATATGAGGTAAAGTGCTAAATATAATAAACACTTAATTATGTACAAAAATAAAATAATAATAGCATATTTATATATATATTATTATAAATAAAATAATATTGTTTGATATATTAGAGTGTTTTTTTATAAATTTTTTGACAACTTTATATATCAGCAACCATTATTGATAAGATATAAACTATCATTGCTAACAAACTAGAATAGTTATAGAGACCAATAAAGACATACTTAACTGGGTGTTTAAGAACAATTTTTATGGCAGCACTAAATACCACATAAGGTATATTGCCATAAGTATATATAGCTTTAATCACATCAGTTAAGTGAACAAAAGACGGTTGCACAGCGGAGGGCACTTATCCATGTTAGTCAAATTAAAACAATCTGTAGACTTTAAAATGCCTCTAGATTATATGATCTAGAAATATATGAGCAACAGAAAATACAGTACTGTTATAACAGACAGACAGAAAGACAGAGAAAGAGAGAGAGCGAGAGAGAGAGAGAGAAAGAGAGAGAGAGAGAGAGGTGGGAAGATAACAAAATTAGCAGCATTATGAACAATGTCGTCTGCTATTTAGTTAGCTTCAAAAGTAATTTAGGATTGCTCTGGGAAATTTATGATTTTAGTAACTAAATATCCATCATTCTATGTAGGTACAATGGATTCAGTATTTCAAACCAACTTGCATTTTCTCTGCTTTATTTAGCAAAAAAGCTTTTTGTGTGGTTAATGAAATTTACTTCGTAAGTTATAACATACTTACCAAGTAAGCCGTGAAAACATACTATTAGACTTTAAAGACAGATACTTTAAAAACACTGTTAAGTGAATATCAACGGAACCAGAAATTATATCTGTTAAAGATAATTAACAATTAAAAATAGTGGGCATGTTATGAAAATGTGAAATGTGGGCCAACAATCTTGTGTGTATAAGGCAGCATAGAAGGTTTTTGTGGTCCAGCAACCTTGTATGTTAAGTTAGATATCCGTTTATAGGAACGTGCATTTAAAAGGCTTTTATCTGTAGTAAATTTATTTAAACAGGAAACAGTGTTTTAAAAACTTTTAATTCAATACACACATTTATGCATAGTTAATGCGGTGTTTAGCCTACGAGAAACAAAAATAACAAATATATGAAGACCCTTTGAAAATTGATATTTTATCACCCGACATTCAAAGATGTTGTTAAAATTCTTATTGCAAACAGAAAATACACGTGTAATTTTAATTTTTGATGTAAGCAATTTTATCGTCTAGCGATTTTCTTCAATCCACACTTACTTCTAATAGGTGAACCACAACAACTACGCCCCGCCCCACACAACAAGATAAGAAAGATATAAAATTGATAAAAAAAGGGTAAAAGGATGTTGAATTTTTTATAAACTTTTTGCGAAAATTGAAAAACAAATTTATAACACAGCATTGGCATTTGAAAAACGTAATATGAAGAGGCGAGTGGAGTGGTGTGAGGATGAAAGAGCGAGCACTCAATGTAGTGTAATGCATTGTAATGGGATACAGAAAATGGCTGCTTACAGCGAACACCCTTAGCCAGGATATGGTAAGGATATTTTAATATTCTGAAGTTTTTTGTATACTTTTTATTCCAGTACTACATTTGGTGCGGGTGTACGGGTGCACGGGTGTGCGACGCATACGAATTAGTCAGTAAAATATTGCAGCATCAAATTGTTGCATGAGAATTGTATTTTATTGAACGTGCATAACTGCAATGGATCCGGATCCGGATCCGAATTGAGACATGAATTAAGTTGGAGTTGCACGTACCATCCTCATATCGCATACATAACAATGCAATTATTTTTATATTAAGTTTAAATGTAATACATCAATTCATTTTTATGTACAACTACAGAATGCATACCATTTGTTGCGATATAAATAGAAAATTCTTTCCAAGTGCAGCAGAAAAGCTCTATATTTTAAGTGTTTGTTATCTTACAAAATACTGCTAACTTAGAAAAAACATTTTACTATAAATACGAGTCTTCAAGATTCTTGTATGTGAGTGTATTTGTAGACAAAAACTATCTCTTGATAGATATAAAAAGAAAAATATTTAACATAAGTATAAGTAGTTTATCAGTATAATATTTATAGTAGTTGCTTTTTTCCTATTATAATTCAATTACATTCCATAAATATGTTAGTTAAAAACTTGGAGTTATGATTGGTATAGACGTCTGCCGGAACGAGTATCAGCAAAATCTTTTTAGTAGTTAGTAAAGTAAACTATATAGAGAGTATTTAATAAAAATTTAAAGACTTTATGAAAGTATAACACAGAAATGGCAATCAAATTTTTACAGCAACTTTAAGTGGTGGTAGGGTACAAGTAGCAACCCATCTTGCAGAACGATTGAATAACAAAAGTCCCAAAAAATTGTGATATCCTGAAACCATATTTTAAATCTGGAATAACTTTGTTCTTTTGATGAAGCAGGCAATGTACCTAACAGCGAGACTAGTGATATCAGGTGGACATTTTACCAATGCAGATTCAGAGTAGATGTTTGTCTTCTTGCGATTGTCTGGCACTAACAGAAGAGATAGGTAATCACTTTGTTGCTTTAATGAAGCATAAAGAATTAAGTGTTATATTTTATGGTCAGCTGCCTTGAAGGTTTAGAATACGCTGTTCTGAAGAGCACAGGTATCAAGATAATGCACCTATAAATGCCCCATTGGAGTTCCGCCGGAATCAATTGAGGTTATGTGTTTGACTTAACTTATCCCTTGGTAATACTTCTGTTGATCTGTGGTCACAATATGAATACGCAAACCCACGACAAATGAAACTTAAATATAATCACCCTTCCCGCAAAAGTTTGGGTATAACAACAGCCAATACGACAGTGCCAATCTCAACTGGTCAGAACAACCGCAGCTGCATACACTGAGCTCCGTTTTACCAGAATCACACTTCCGGTCGGGTGTCGCAAGTGAATCTCACTCATTACCATTCTTACTCTAAGCAATGTCGAACCTTGGGAATATTCTAATTCCTTACCCACAGCGGGAAATGAAGCAGGCAATGCCATAATGCGAAACTAGTAAAATAAAATAGACAATTTAAGAACATATCTATATGTCTATCCGTCTATCTATCGGTCTGTCTATTTGTCTATTTAATGCCTATTTAATTGTTTGCTGTTCTATTTATAACCTATTTGCCTATCCATGTGTCTGTCTATCTATAGGTATACCTTTATGTTCATCTATCTATCTGTATATTTGTCTATCTATCCATCTATCTGTCCACGTATCTAGATATTTATATTCTCTTCATTTATTCATTTATCTGTCCAACTACCTGGGAATTTATCATCTGTCCACCTATCCATCTATTCGTCTTTCTGCATGTATACGTGCACATGTCTATATGAAAAAACAGCACGGCAAAAATGTCAGATGTCTCTCTATTCATCTGTCTATCCATCTGTCTACATTATTAAGTGCCTGTCTATAATCAATTTGTCTGTTTATCTATCCATCTATGTACTTGTATATATATCTATCTGCAAAAATAGAACGGTAAGCCTGTCACATTTGAACGGTTAGACACTGTCCATGTATTTGTTTACATATTTCATATATATACCTGTTTATATATCTATTGAAAAACTGTACTCCAAGTCGGTTTTGGCGAATAACTACATATAATAGATATTAAAAAACTAGATTACTTATAGAGATTTATGGCAGAATTTCAATTCTTTATATTGAAAATATTTACAATATTGAAATACGGCGGACGGGGCAACAACTCAAGAACGATTAACAATAAGTAAAATCGATGCTCTATTATAAAACGAAAATCTTGTTAGATTGTTAAAACATAAAGATTTCAATGGGTCTGTGTTTCAAAGCAAATTCGTGAAGTGTTTTTAGTGTTGATCCCAAAGATATAGATATGAAGGTAGACTTGAAAAAGGAAAAAAACGCAGCATTTACAAGGACCGTATTATTAACTGAAAGGCATTAACATTGAATCATTGAATAAAATAAGATAGTTTATGGAGGAGAACTACAGCATGAACATTTTTTTTCTATTATTTCTTTTTTTTGATAATTGTGAAATAAATTAAATTGATAAATTAATCCAATAATATATAAAAAATTAAAAACAATTAATATTAATCAAATTAGCTATTTACTTTATATATTAAGAATACATATATGTATATTATAGAAGTTCCTATATAAGGAACATTTTAAGAAATTAAAAATAATTAATATTAATTAAATTAGCTATTTACTATATATATTAAGAATACATATATATTTTATACAAGATTCCATATAAGATAAAGGCATTTTAAAAAATAAAAAACAAATAATATTAATCGAATTAGCTATATACTATATATATTAAGGATACATATATATATTATACAAGATTCTATATAAGATAAAGGCATTATATTGGCAAGTGCAATTATAGTTGTTTTTGTGCAAAATATATATTGTTTTGATTAGTTATATATATATATATATATATACATATATGTAAATAAAAATGATAAGAAAACTAACTAATGATGTTGTTACATCGACTCAAATCAATACATACGTCTCTAAACAGATGATTTTGGTGCTGTATTGGATGAAGTTGGTGCTGTAGTGAATTTACAACAACAGTAGGCGGTAGTGCAGTAGAACGGTTAGTAATTAGATTATTATTATTATTAGTGTTGGTGCTATTAAAAACATTTGCCAATGATGGCGGTGGTGTTGCTGCAATTGCAGCATTACCAGTGGTGGCCATAAAATGTGTTGCTGACATATGTTGTTGCAAGTGCAAGGTGGCTTGGGATTGGGCACCTTGTCCATATTGTGCTTGAAATAATTGTTGATGGTGTTGTTGTTGTGTCAGTTGCTGCTGTTGATGTTGTTGTTGTTGTTGTTGCTGATAACCCTCAAAGATAAATAACTGTGGTTGTGATTGTATTTGATGCTGATCTATAATTGTCATTGTTGCTGCTGTGACTGATGTAGGTTGTGGTGTTGGAGGCGGTGCCATTATATTAGCTGCTGATAGCATTGGTGCGGCAGCAACATTTACGAGATTTGTTGACTTCATTGTTAAAGTAGCATTAAAGTTGTTGTTTTTATTACTATTATTATATTGCTTTTTGTTATAACCCAAATTATTACTCTTGTAATTGCTATAATTGTTGTAACTGTTGTTGATGCTATTGCTGTTGTTGCTGCTGAAACTGATTAGGTTAGCTGCAACAGCATCATTAATCATTTTTGTTTTGGCAAACTCAATGCGTATTGAACCGCGATCTGATGAGAGTAAATATTTGCCCTGCAATTGCTGCATGGCAGCAGCAGCTGTGGTTGAGTCCTTAAACTCAATGAAAGCCACTGGTAGGCTGTTGTTGATAGTGTTGTTGCTGCCGCCATTGTTGTTGCTTGCTGTGGTAGAGCCACCCGAATTGCTGGCAGCTAATGTTGCTGCTGCTGTTGTAGAAGCAGTAGAAGTGGTGCTTGAAGTATTGGTGAAGGTGGTGGTGGAAGTAGAAGAAGTAGTAGTAGTGATATTGTGCGAACCTTTTGTGTGCATTCGTAGGCGACAAAAGCCAGGCATACTGTGCAATATTGTTTTTTTTTTTGGTTTACGAGATATTTTTCATATTCAAACAATTATTTTAATGTAATTTAAATATTTTATACAATAGAATTATTTATTGCATGTTGTAAGTGAAAATGAAAGAAAACATAAGTGAAAAGAATGAAATTATTAAAATGCTGATATAAGTGATTGTGAATGAATATATAGTATTTATTATTGATTATAGGAAAATATGTTATTTAATTTATAAATGGAAAATAAAAACGAATAAAATTAAAAATATTAAATTTTGTGCTTTGCTGTTGGATTTGAGATTTTTTTTCTTTGTGAAAAAATATAGTTTATATGAATTAAATTTATATATTTTCATAACTGTGCAGTAGTTTGTATATAAGGAATTTATAACAATAATTTTGTTAATAACAAGTGCAACTTAAAAAAATAATTATTTGCAAGTAAAAAAATTAAAAATTTTTTTAATATTTCGTAATGTTAAATATTTTTTTCTGTTTAGTGTTTATATATAATCATTAATAACATAATATAACACATACAAAATTTTTGTTTTTATTCAAATATGCAAATTGTTTTAATATTAAATATTATAATGAAATCAATAAATTATTTTTTAATAATATGTAATTTACTGAATATGTATTGGAATATATATATATAAATATTTTATGCTTCACAAGTAGTTTATTATGTTATGGTTAAAGTAAAAGAAGTAACATACTCTTGACTTTCAAATAAAGCATAAACTCGATTAAATCAAATATACGATTTAATATAGGCATTGAAAAATAAAAATTATAAAAAAATATTTAACATCATATACTTAAGTAATTAAGTTATAGTGAACCTCTTCACTCTATACACGCAAGCAGTCAGTGTTCAACTTAACTTATGGGGATAACACCAAAATATGCGAAAAGAAAAAAAAACACGGAAAATAAAAAAAAAATATTATACAAAATAAAATATTATTATTAATATTATAAAATTTCTTATAATTTTTAAAATCATTATTTTAACTATATGAAATCCTTTATTTTTTATTTTTTTTTTCATAAATCTAAGCAAAATAAATATTTCTCTCATTACTTTAACCATACATAAATGAAAGCACTTTGTTTATATTCTATATTTTAAATTTATTGCTTTTAGAAAAATGTTTATAAGTATAATCCTTAATTGTTGTATTGTTTATTGTACTTACCTAGAGAATACCTCCTTTAATTCGTGCTCAGACACAAATTGTCCCAAATTGGCTACAAACAATGTTGAACATGGTGCATTTGCAGCAATTGGTGGATTAGCCGGATGTGTTGGATTATTTGTAGAACCGACTGGACTCGCTAGAGCGGGGCTTGATAAAAAATGATGATGCGTTGGTGGTCCGGGTGGTGGTGGTCCAGGTGGACCAGTTGCAGCTGCGCCTGGTGGTAAACCAGCAGCAGCAACTGCAGCAGCAGCGGCAGCAGCAGACATATGCATAGCAGTTGGATGTATTGCAGCAGTGGTTTGATGATGTTGCGGCATTGTCAATTGAGTCTATAAATGAAAAAAGGTTTTCTAGTTAATTTTTAAAATGTGCAAAAAGCATATTATTTCAGTGAAATATTAAAATATATGTAAAAAAATAATTAATTTTATATCAAATAATAATAAAATATTAATTAAATTTTTTTTATGTATAATTTAGATACTTTAAGAGACTTAATTAAAAACAGCACAATAAGTTCTATGGATTTGTAATTAAATTTGAAGTCAAATCAAAAATAAAACTTATAGTGAGCTTAAGTTTTTTTAAACCTTGAAACATAGTTATTAGGATTACTGTTTTGGACACCATTGGGTTGGTTATGATTAGGCAGCCAACCTCAAGCTAAATGAGTTGCTTGCACTAACAAAGGATACAGTTAAACAAATGGAAGACGTTTTGGCTTTAACTCAATAATGATATCCGAGAATTGGAGGACGAAAAAGTATCAAACGTTTTGAGGTCTATATCAGCTAAGGATCTACTAATCCTTGACATCAGTGGGATCATTTCATTGAGGCTGCGATGCACCAAACTTCTCACCTCTCTAAAAGGTTGACAATTTTGCGATTTGATTTGGCTAGATTCTTTTCGGAACATATGTCAAAAAGAAATGTAATTAAAGTCATCACACGTTTAGTTTAAGGTTTGCCATTTTACAATATGAATCGTTTAACAACCGTAGAATGTTTGGAAACTGTGAAAACATACTACAAAAATTATGACGATTATTCTTTTGTTAAGATACTGCGTATTCGCTTGATGGATATGCCAACAAACAAAATGGTTACAGCTGGGACAGTAAAAACCCACAGCGACAGACACTCACTGTATGGTATCACAATTGGTCTCTGCTCGGATGATTTTAAAAATGACGAAGCAATGATACAAATCGTCAATCGTTACAGATACATGACTAATACTTTCTGGTTGGCGTGAAATTAAAAACACGGATTGAGAGAATGTATGGCTTCAACAGGAAGGTGTCACAAGTTAGATGACATGCCTTCCCTCTTTGGTATTTCTCGAGAAATACCAGACGCAGAAGTTTTATTTTTAACGATCTGAATGAGATGCCAAAATCATGCTATTTGTCATCATTGGACATCATGGTCAATTGGACAGTTCTCTAACTCTCGACGATTTAGCAGTAACTTTCGTTGTGGTTGAGCTGTGTGCCGAGAAATGATCAAAAATAACCTCAAAAGGATGCAGTACTGAGAAATGTTTAGTATAGAGCATTCAAATGTTTGTATACAGTAGATATATGTTATAGTTGACTAGAATATATAATATAGAGTAGACTCATGGTATAACGAAGGATATAATCTCAAGCCATTTTTATTATTTTGAATCCATTTAATTTGCAGTATTTTTCTTATAGAGAGAATATATTTGGTGTATTTGTTATTTATAAGATCACGATCATATATCACTTAGAGGGTTTTTTCAACGAATATTCGTTACACCGAGAGTCTACTGTAAAGAATAAAATGTTTAATCAAAATCAAAGAAATTAAAAATGTTCTTTTTATGTTTACATTCTGAACTTCAAACTGCATTAGCCTGTATATTGTAACTAATTAATTAATTTAAATAAAACAAAACTGTAAATAAATTATTTCCATCTTTTAGCAGTAGAACGTATTTCATTAACCTAACATTTAGTTCTATGACAAATCCATTTAAAATAAACAGGTATTGAATATGTTCAGTCATTATATACTTACTTGATGCATTGGTTGCTCCATTACTTTTTCTGTATTTAGTCAGAGATAGGAGCGTACTGGCACTTGTGGATGCAGTGCCGGATGTACTAAAGTTGCATGCTGCAAAGCAGCAGCGCCTGGTAATTCAGCAGCAGCAGCTGAATAGGCTAGTGGATGATGCCATAATTCCGGTCCTCCAGGAAAGAATGGTCCGCCTAAATCTGAACATAAATGAAATATTAAAAATAAAATAATTATTAATCAATGTTTTTATAGCCAGATATATGAAAATAAAAATAATTAATTATAATTACAAAAAAATATATTATTTAATTATTGTCATTATATTAAATCATTGACATTAAGCGCAGTTTCAAAATCCTAATTTTAATTTTCATCATTTATTTTAATATATTTAAGCTAGTTTTAAATAATTTTTTTTTTGTTTTTACGTTTTCAATATTTAAATATTTATTTAATTTCCTGTATCTTAAATTTCACTGAAACATAACCTCAACATTTTTTTTCGTAAACTAATAAATGTGAATCCTATGGTTAATAGAATAAAGGATGTATATATGTGATAGTTTTCAGTTTTCAGAATTTTATTTTTATATTGCAAAAAAATTTTTTTTATCAAGATATATTTATATAGTCTTATAAAAACTCTACATTGTAGACAGAAACGTAAAGAGATGAACTCCTGAATTGATTGCAGAAAATGATCGAATAAGTAGAAAAATAAAGGCGCGAAAATTATTGACAAAAAAAAATGTTTGTTGTTACAATTCACTACTGTTTAAAACTTTTCTATTATAACATAATAATAAAATAGCATTTGCATATTATCGAAATCAGGTCCTTTTTTCATCACCATTTCCTATATAATTATAATGGTTCCTTGATAAATGTTTCCTTTTTTAGATGTGATATAAATTTAGGTAAATGAAACAAAATAAAATTTCTCGGATAAATATACTAAGATAGCGACATTTTTATAAAAGCATAAATTCATCTGCGAATTACGTTAATTCCATTTAAAATATTTATTGTGCTTTTATCCATGGCTTTCCATATTACCGTAATTAATTAAATATAATATTTCTTGAGCATATAGTCTAATGAAATATATTTTCTGTTAAAATTTTTAGGGATTTTTTCTTATTATTCTAAGGTTTACGTATAAGCTATGTCATTAAGAAGTTGTACTAGTCTAGGGTTTCTCAATGATATGGTAACATTACGCATCTAAGAATTCCATGAAGTCCTTTCGCAAACTTTGACCCAATATGACAGGTAGAAGTATTTTGTTAAGTTATATAAGAGTTATAGTGTCTAAACTATGGATGCTGATATATAGCTAATATTAAATGTTTATAATCATCATGCGTGACTTTTGTCATTCGCAGAGAAACATTGGGTTAGTTAGAGACAATATATCATGTTGTATTTTATAATCCCTTTCAAAGTATATCCTTTTTATTCAAAGTACTATTGTTAGGATAAAAAATAAGTCTGAAATGTGTGGAACTTTATTGTACTTCTCACTATTTTAAAGTTCTATGATTGGTTCGATTGCAACTTTTATCAACTTCTCTCTTCTCAATTTTCTTCTGATTGATTTTCTGATTCTGATTGATTTGTGATTGGTTTGATGAAAACTTTTCAACATTATTTCACTCTCCTCTCTGCTAAGAGTCTTAGGAGTCTTGGGAAGAAATTAATAATATACTCAACTTTCTTGTGTTTTTCTTTACTTTTAAGTACTATGATCGGTTTGATTGCATTTATTAAATTTTCGTATTTTTCTCTATGAGGTCTATTAGGTGTTATGATTGGAACTTAATCAAGAATATGTTCAATTTTCTTCTATTTTGTATAATTCTAAGTCGTATGATTGGTCTTATTGAAACTTCTCAATTTTACAACTTTTCCACTTTTGTCTTCTTCTAAGACTCATAATAGGAACTAACTTTATAATATGCTCAACTTTCTTTTACTTTTTTCTACTTTTAAGACTCATCGTTGATAATCACTCCATAATAAGTTCAACTTTCTTGTACTTCTCTCTACTTTTAAGTTCTGTGAATGAATCATTTTCTTCTATTTCGCTCTAATTTTAGGTCCTATGATTGGACTGAGTCAAGAACATGTTTAAGTTTCTTCTATTGAAACTTTTTCAATTTTTTTCGCTTTTCTTTATTTCTAAGATTCAGTAATGGAGGTGACTTAATAATACATTGTGACCGAAAGGTTTTCGGAGGTTCTCATTTAAAATTCGCGCGCTGTATATTTTTCGATATTTTAAGTTTATGTAGTTTGGCAGCACTGTCCTTAATTATGCTCAAAATGAGCGGCGATCTGTCATGACAGTTCGTTTACGGCAGCTGTTGAAACCAGTTCACCTCAGTAGTGCGTTGCGAAAAAAACAATGGAAAAAAATATTGAACAAAGAGTTTGCATCAAATTTTGTTTTTCGAACGAAATTTCGTGTGCAGAATCGTTGCGAATGCTACAAAAGGCTTATGGGGAATCAGTTTTATCGAAAACTCAAGTTTATGAGTGGTACAAAGCCTTTCAGGACTGTCGTACGACCGTCGAAGACATGCCGCGTTCTGGACGACCTTCGACCTCTACCACCGACGAAAACATTGAAAAGGCAAAGGAAATCGTGTTCAAAAATCCTCATGTGAGTGTTAGAGAGATAGCACGAGAGCTAGGCATCGGTCGTGAGATGGCTCGTTTGATTTTGGTGGACAATTTGTGTATGCGACGTGTCAACGCCCGGCTTGTTCCGATTCACCTCAATTTGTTCAACATTATCAACGATTTTAAGGCCAAACATTCAATAAATACCATCGAACAGCCACCGTATTCACCTGATCTTGCACCGTGTGACTTTTTCCTGTTTCCCAACCTCAAATTACCACTCAGAGGAACGCGTTTTGAATCCATAGAAGACGTAAAACAGAATTCGCAGAGGGAACTCAAAGCCATACCGGAAAGCGCCTATAAAAAAGTTTTGATGATGGAAGAAACGTTGGCATTTGTGTATCGCTTCTAATGGAGTCATATTTGAAGGAGATAAAATAAATATTGATGAAGATTAAGAATTTTGCGTTTTATTTATTTATGACCGGAAACTTTTCGGTCACAATGTATGCTCAAATTTTTTGTACTATTCTCTACTTTGATTAAAACTGAGACAAGATAATGTTTAAATTTCATCGTTTTATGATTGGACTTTATGATTGGTTTAAGTGGAACTTTGCAACTTTTCTCCACTTTTAAGATCCCTGATGTATATCCTCAATTTTCTTCTACTTTTATTTATTGTTTAAATTATTAAGTGGAACCAATACTTTTAAACGTTCGCTTTCAGAAGTTGCTTTGAATAATGCTTTAGACAAACTCAGTAGATTCTTCTTAACCAGTAAGATTACTAAACTGTTGAAAAGGTACTATTATTTACTATCGATACCGATTTCCTGTAGGTTTAGGTCATTTAAAATTTCGTCAATATATGTCAGTGACTTTTATTATTAGAAAAAAAATTTTTTTTTAAATCATAAAACGTTCCATTGACATTTTCGGAGTCAATATGTTGCTTTATCACTTTTCTGTATTTTTCTTTTATTTTTTAGTTTACAATATGACACAAACATTATTAGCAAATATACAGGGTGTTAACCATAAAATATTGAACAATAATTTAACTATTGATATACAATTTTTCTCTTAGTTTATAAGCTTTAAAATTTTGTGCATTTCTCTTATAAAGATTTTTAATTTTAATTAGAAAATTCGTTTTGAAGCTATTGTAAGAGAGTATCTCATACGTGTTTGTGTACAATTTGAGTGTGTTGTGTATGTGTTCAGTGTGTGTATGTGTACGAGTACAAGTGTACAAAGTGATAATGGTGCAAACATATTGCTCGGGGCATAAAATTCATATATGGGGATTTGAATATAATTTTTAAGATACATTTTTTGGTGCTTCGAAAGCAGTTTTGGTAGGAAAGGTGAACTTTCATTAAGATTTTATTTAATTGTAAATAGGATCTTTAGTGCGCTTTTGTCATTGGTTTGTTTATATACTGATATATATATACATATATATTTATATATATAATGATGTATATATATATATATAATTTACATTAACTACAATTATTTTTTTTTTGTTTTAGTTAAATTATTTTTTTTACTACCACAAGCTATAAATAATTTGAAGTTGTTTTAAGTTTCTTTACTTACGTCCAGTGAGTGGGTGCATCAATGCAGGATGTGAGGCTGTTGTCGCTGTATTGGGCTGTGGTTTAGGTTTGCTCACTTTCGTGTTACTCTTGGCGAATTCCAAGCGAATTGTTTGGGGCATATCGGGATCGAAGCGTACACCCTGCTGTAAATGATCGATACAGCGGATTGTATTTTATTTAAATTCATTAGTCATTAAATTTTTTTTATTAATTTTTTTGTTATTAATTGTTTTTGATTGTTGAAATTGTAAGTTATTTTGTAATTTTTTATTTTAAAATCTCAAAAAGAATTTTGAAAAAACATTTTTTTTTTAATTTCGATTTTATTTTACTTTTTTTTCTGTTGGACAAAAATAGTTCGCTGTTTTATATCTCAAAAATTCGCCAAAAATAATTACATATATAGTATAATAATATAAACTTATGTGAGTACTAAAATCATTTTGCACAGGTACAAGAACTGGGTTAAGAACCATGTCCTGTTTAGAACTTTAGAGGTGCTTGCTGTCTGGCATACTCGGGGCATTCAGGTGCAATTTTTTGTATTTGTAGTTTATTGCAATAATTTTGTTTGTGTAAAGTAAATATCTGTACTATTTTAATAAAAGAATTGCAGACCACTTTAGTTTATTTGTATAATATTTTAAAATAAATGTACAGTTTGTGTTGCATAGTTTTGAAAGTAAAAAAAAGGTTTGAAGTAAATGCTTATAGACAGAGCAAATATGCAGATATATTTATAAATTGTTTTATATTTATATAATATTGTCCTTTCAATTAAAAAATAATAAAAATATTTATCAAAAAACTATAAAATAAAAATATTAAATTTATCATCTAGACAAAATATTGTGTACTCGATTTATTATACAATTTGTTGTTCAGGAAAATAACTATTCACATGGCAAAAGTTAATGCCGATTCCGATATCTAAATTAAAACGAATATCACATGATATTTTACATGTCAATTTACTTAAGGAAAAAAACATGAACTGATTTACTTCTAAGTTCATAAAAACAATGTAGTATACTATTCACGTTGGGCGCACCAGAAATTTTAGAAGTGCTGCCTAATCCCAAACCAAGAATTAGGTGACAAATTGAAATTTTATAAAAAAATTACAGTTTCGTACCAGATGTATGTATAAGTTCTTTTTGGTTTAACTAATAGATGGCACCAGCGAAAAGTAGGCAGCTTATTTAGTTTATATATACGTCATTTTGTTTTATCTCACACTAAACTCATGATTGACAGTGAACACTAAACACACAAGTGGACTTCGCTTAAAATTAGTATCTTTGTCATATCATTCAGTAATTCCGTCCAATTTTATATATAAAAAAGAACATTTGCACTCGGATAGACCACAAAAGTGCGAAAACGTGCAATTGTAGAAGTTATTAGATGATGACCCAACTTAAACCTCTACAACTATTGGTAAAAACATTAAAGGTGTCACGAGAAAAACTCAGCAGACGTTTACGAGCAATGCGGATAATCTATGGGGAAAACCACTGGGTAAATGGATCTTCACATGGTTTGAATATACATCAAATGGAAAATCACAAAGTCACTTGCGAAATGCTGCTTCAACGCAAAAAATTACTTTTTTTTTTATCAAATTGTGAAGGGTGACGAAAAATAGATATATTTTAAAAACTTGAAGCGAAAATATCGTGACTTTCACCTGATGAAGCAGGTCTTTCAACACCATTCCCGAATCGGTTTGGTATGAATACAATGCTTTATATCTGGTTGGACCAGAATAGTGGTGTGTGTTATAAACTCTTGAAGTCTGGCGAAACTGTTAATGCACAACGATGTCGTCAAAAAATGATTAATTTAAATTACACATTCCTTGATAGATGACCGAAATGGATCGGAGGCATTGTAAAGTGATTTTGTTATACGATAATGCGCCATCTCATATAGCAAAACTGGTGAAAAATACTTTCAAATCGCTTGCATGGAACATCGTTTCGAACCCGTTGTCTTTTCCAGACCTGACGCTGTCCAATTATCACCTCTTCGCATCGATTGGGCATGAGTTGGAAAATAACTGAGCGAATGGTTTGCCGTAAAAACAAAAAATTTTCTGCTAGTGTATTCATAAATTATCTGAGAGATGGGTAAAATGTGTAGAACCAGATCGTCAAAATTTTGAATACACAAAAAAATTAAATTCCATCTAACATGACGTGTTTTTTTCACAAAATCAAAAAAAAAATTATGTATACACCTGGTAGATTAGATAAGAATGAACGGGGTACTAGCTCCCACTTGAGCAGAGCACTGCGACCATGATTGATTTTTTGTGCTACAACAGAACCTAATCGAATGAAGGCTAAAATGTCAGCCGTTGAGGACCTCCTAATGTCGGAAGGTGAGAGTAGTTCCCGACCCAGTGACCTCCTCCTGGCCCAGATCAAGGCTTGGCAGTCTCCTAGAATGTGGCTGGGTGTCTCCTCTGCTTTTAAGCAGAGTCTACACTCTATCTCTTCTTCGGTAATACACCTGATAAATGAGATTGAAAATTCCAAATACATGGACAATAATACTAAATCAATAGTTTATTGAAGTTTAATTCATGCAGTGTGAATAGACTTTAACTTTCTCGTATTGCCTATAAAATTCACATAGACAGTTTTGAATAAACTAATATATACCATTACAATAAACCTATAAAAAATTTGAGTAGAAATATTTTTCCATAAATTCTTAAGGTTTTTAATTAGAGGATTTCATTTGAAAACCTTACACATGCAATAAAAAGAAAAAGGTGCTTGATATTTATAATAAAAAAAACAATATTTTTGAAGTTACTTTGAAGTTTAAAATGACTTGGTCATTTATATCTTTAGTTATTAACAAATCATTAAAAAATCACAAATCAATAAATACATACATATATCTTAAGAAACACAAACAAAAAATATTAAAAGATAAACTACATTGAACTAAATTTACTAAAAAAGCAGGAGATAGATGTTTTTGTATCTTATTCTGTATGTACTATTAAAGATGTTTTCAATGCAAGCTTCGTGTAGGAGTTCACAAATAAATATTGTATTTTAGAGAATATATCTTATGGTATTTCAGTGTTAAAGCAAGCGACGGTGCACTAAGACGAATGCGTGTATGAGTAGATATGAGTATGTGTAACTTCGTATAGAAGGGACTATAGGATATAATTAGGCTCTAAAGTAGGGTACACTTTGTAAGTAATAATTCAAAATATTTCAAATTTTTCATATACTATTTTTGTGAAAATATAATAAACAATATATTTTGTTTGTGTCCTGTTGTTCTTACAATTTTTGTAATTTGAGTCATTGTAATTTACGTTTTAATATTGCATTTATAATTATATATTTCATAGTATATTTGTTGTTTTTTTTTTGATTTTGTATACAAAATAGTTTACAATTTTTGTTATATATATATAAAATAATAGTTTTACCTGTAAGTCCTGTTTAGCTGCTTCTGCGCCTGCTCTTGTATGGAATGTAACAAATCCAACTGGCTATATATATTCATTAGAATAAGAAATCAGTTTATACAATCAACATTTTTTTTGAGAAACACTTACCGAAGCCGTTTTTCCATTCTTGCTAGTTACTTTTAGTAGAGATCCTTCGTAACCCTGGCAATCAATAAAGAAGTAATTATTTTTATTATTAGTTTTAATGAAAGTAACAACAGTATAATGATATATCAGATGGATAATAAAAAATAAAATAAGCTTATTAATAATTTTTTTTTGTTGAGACTATTAGAATGGCTAAAAGAGAAATGAAAAGACAATAACAAACATTTTACTTAATTTATTAAAGTTTGGCTGAATTTATTTTTTAATTTCTGAAATTTTTGTAATTCCTATAAATGCACGATAGGAGAAAAACAACACTTCGAAAATCTGGAAACACTAACATATATTGATGCCTAATAAAATAAGAAGAATCAATATCTTGAAATGTAAAGCATACGATTTTGATTTCAGAAATTCTTTTGTAATCCTATTATATACGCGATATGAAAAAAAAGAATACCTCAAAAGTCTGGCTGAACACTTATATAAATTTTATTGATGTTTAATATTGTTAGATATAATGTATTAAAAGTTAAAGAAAACTTGGGTAGTTTTCATCAATTATCTGCCTGCTGTAAGAAGCGACTAAAATCCAATAGGCACCACCTATTCTGTTTGTAATATAAATAGTAGTGAGTGATTTTCACTTCCGGGATTCGACTGGAGCTGTAAATCTGATACCACCAGGATCTCATTCAGTTGAGTTAATTAAAATAAAAATTTTGGAATAATAATTTTTCTTAACTTTCAAAGCTTTTCTCTATGCGAAAATAGATACCTTGAAAATCACGATTAGTCATCGCTTCTAATTTGACAGGCACAAGTTCTAAGTCGGGGACTTGCAGTCCAAATAAATTATATACAGACTATAAAATAATTAAAAATTCGATTATTTCTTAAGACCACTGATGATGAGTACTTGGCAATACTCGAAACAGCGTTGTATGGCCAGCCAAATTTCAATAAATTGAAATAAAATTTTTGTTCTTGTCTTTTCTTTGCTATTCGAATTCCTCTAAGTTTTAAATAGTTTCTTTTCGTCATAAGACGCGTCACGCTCGACAAGAAAAAATTAACATTAAAATATCTTATATTGAAATAATTTTAATATTTGTTTTTTGTGACTCACCTCATAAGCTCTGAAAAGCAAATATAATTCACGTGGTTTTGCATCCATTGGCAAACCACTCACGAAGAGTGTGCGTACCTGAAAAAATAAATAAAAAATATTTTAAAGAAACGTATTTAGAATTTTTTTAGATAATTTGATTTTTTACATAATTAAATTGTAGGAAAAAAAAAATTTTTAACAGAAACAGAGCTGTTATTGCCAGTAGAAGAGAAAGCTCCATTTAACTAAAAGCAATTTTAAGCGATAGCATAATTAACCTACACTCCACTGTTGTTAGCCATTGTAGAACATTAGTGTATGAACATAGGTACGTAGCTTAGACAAGGGAACAGTGGGGAGAGAAGACGTTTATTCTCAGCTGTTTGCAAACATTTGAGTGTGCTTTAACCTTAAAGTTCATGTGTACGCGACATGACAATATTGGTGCGCTTGGGTGATATCAACATGTTTCGGAAGGAAAAGTAGGCAAAAGCACACATACACACACACACACACACGCATACTTGACATTCATCCTTGATGTGATAATGAAGCCGAACTGAATAAGCATCATAAACGCTGAATTCATTAAAATATATGAGCACACTTAAGTGGGTAGCGTTTTTTTTTCTTTTATAATTTTACACTACGTGCTGTGTGTATTGCTCATACGTGCATATGTATTCATGTGTATGCAAAAACAAAAATTATGCATACATTTACATATCCATTTTTTTATATTTAACACCTTTTTGGTGTTATAAAAACATCTTCCATGAGTGGCAGGGCAAAAAAAAAATCATTCTCCATATTTTTTTTTGTTTTTTAATTTTTATTGTTGCTATTTTGACAACGTTGAACTTAAATGTGGTGGCTTCTGACACTCACACACACTGACACACACATGTAAGCGTACTGCTAACTTAAAATATGCAAATTAAATAAAAATGAGTGTGAACGTGTGTTTTTGTATGAAAATTAAAACGTGTTCTATCGGAAAATCTCTTTTTTGTAATTTGGCAGATAAGTTGTTACAGTTTAAATGAGTCGCTTCTGCTTTTTTTTCGCACACCCGTAATATGTCGCCAAACTTGAAGTCTGTAATTTACACTTTTTTTGGCATATCACATTTTATAAATTTAGATACAAATATTAAAGCCACAAACTAACAGACATTCATTGCAGTGCATATATTTTCAACATATGTTCTCACGTAACTCAACGGCGCAAAGTCAGGGAGGGTCACGACTCTGCTGTCGACTTTGATGTTATCCTGTACACTGCTAAACGCATTGTCGCCATCAATATCTGTCGTTATCAGACGACTATAGATATTTTTGCGCAATTTTCTCTTGAATTTACACATCCTATGTACATTATGTGTTTGTAGCGAAGTTATATGAAAGTTCAGTTGAAACCTTACATGTGTCATTCTTCTGCTCTATTGGCTGATTTATATTTATAAGCTTTGTTAAAGTTAAAGTGGCTTCGAAAAAATTTATTACTATTTTTAAGTTTTTATTTTTATTTTATCTATGTTTCTGATATTTATTTAAAATAGAAAAAATTACATATTTATTATATCATTAAATTTCTTTTACAGATAGTTATTTATAGAAATATTTACTTATTATGACAGCAATAAGTTTTTTTTTCTTCAGAAAGGTCAATATTAAATTGTTGCAAAATATGTTCAATTTTTATTTTTTTAGTAGTATAAAATGTGTTAACATAAATAAGAAATTTATTAATATAAGAAAAAATTTTTTATAAATAAATATTTATAGAAATATTTAAGACTTTGTCTTTCTTTAGAAAGGTCAATACTAAATTGGTGGAAAATGTATTAAATTTTTTTGCTACTTTGATAGACCTTTCTTCAGAAAGGTCAATAATTTTTATTTTTTTAGTAGTATAAATACGTTAACATAAGTCAAAAGTTTATAATAAAGCAAGAAAAAAAATATTTGTAAAATATTTAAGCCATAATTTTTTTTCATCTTTAATTTAAGTTGTTCGTTTAAGATTTATGATAGATAAAAGTATTTAGATAAGAAAGTTCATTAAAAAATTGATGTGTACCGTTCCGTTTCTGAACCAGCTGGTGATGAATGGCGATATTCTCATTGGTCTATATATTAAAAAGTGAAAGGTATGTTGGTTAACAAAGCACATGCAAGGCAACAATATCTAAAGTTGATAAGTAACTAAAGCATAGCACTATGACTCTGACAACCGTGAACGATGGACTTTAAGACTTATTCCAGAACTGAAAAACTAGTAAACAAGAAACTACGGAGATAGCAACTACTACCTTACTCAGTTCTTGTATGGTCATGGACATTGCAATAGCTAACTCTGCCGCAAATGTAAAGTATAGTCGCTAAATTGCATAGAATCATCCTTTCGGAGCTAAGGATGATAACGCAGAGCTTACCTTCATCAAGTGCAATAAGTGTTTACCCAAATAAGTGGTTTCCTCAAGGAAGGTGACAGAAGAAATGTTTTAAAAAATAACACAATTTTACATTGCATAGCAATGTTTGCTGAAAACATTCTGATATTGAAATAAGTAGAGTAACTGCAGCTGGAGCAAGCAGTTATAATACCCCAAAACGAATTACAAGAATAACCACCTAAAACATGTTTTAGGTTGGATGTAGCTCAGACCAATGGAAGTCTTAATTGAGTAATGAAGACTTTACCACGAAGTAATACTGACGTAGTCCCGGAGTAGAAGGAAGTTCCTATTAATGACGGGAAGAGCTTAACTTCATGTAAGTCACTTTCCAGGGCGCCGTATTGTGATCACCGCGATGGCATTTTCTTACTCACCGCCACACAAAACAAAAAAAAAATTAAATTAAGAGAAAATTTAATCAAATTAATTTATTCTTTAATAGAATAAATTACTGTAACATAAGTAAAAAAATTCATTACATTAATAAAACAAAAATTTATTATTGGATTAGTTTATAAATATTATAAGTTTAATTTTTTTTATTATAACTTTTATTTAATATAGATTTAAAATGAATAAATTATTCGTTAATTAACATAAAATAAATTTATTATATTTTAGTCATATTCATTATATTCAAATTATATTATTTTCATTCAAAAAATAAAAATATCTCTGCACTTGAGTACATTTAAATTATTACATTCACATTGGGAACGTGTGTGTGCGTATATAATTTCTATTTTCGCTACATTAGAAATTAATGTAATAGAAAATTTTACGCTACCCATTAGATTCGCTACTAATTTGTTTTTAATTTAGCCCACCGCAGTTCGTGCTAATTATTTACCCACGTCCACACGTTTAATAAATTTTCGCGAATGCATTTAATTGCAACTCTGCACTCATTCATCATCCCCGTTCTTGCACTCGCGTACAAGCTGGCAAACTGGCAAGCTAGCAAGCTGGCAACCTTATAAATAACTCAGCACGGCATTAGAAATAAATTGTCTGAAGAATGCGACAGCAATGAAGTGCATTGAAATGCACTGCAGTGCTGAAATTTCAAATCTTTTCATTATGAACCGAGGGATAAATTTAATTAATCGTCAAAATATCTTTTATGTTTAAAAATTTATAAACATTAGAATAAAATGTTGCGGATTGGCACGAAATATTTTGTTTTCTGTTTTTGTTCAATAATTAATTTTCTATATCGGATAGAGATTTTTAGTGTTAGACATTATAAATAAAATTACATATTTGTTTTTCTTTTGCCAAGCTTTAGTTTAGTGAAGTCAGGTAAAAAAATGTGTCCTTTAATGTTTTTATATGGTTATCATAAGACCTGTACTGTTGTAAGGCGTCACAATGCGGTGGACAGCAGGGTATTCAGCAGGATGCAACGTAGAGCGGAACACTGTGTTAGTGGTGCATTAATACAACTCCATCCATTGCTTACACCTAATGCTGCTTGATCTTTTAGGCAAATAAATGGCGGCATAGTTTGTTTTTTGACTTGAACCAACTTTGCAGTGGATTGCTGTGTTTGCAGCCACGTCTCCATTATTTATCTCTGACTACATCTCTGTTATTCACAATTTCGACAGGAAACTTACTGTGGATTCTCCATCAAGAGACACTTGGTTCTGGAGAGGTCCTTTGTTAAGAGTGGGTTAAACCATATATACTGATGACTCAAAAATATGTTGTGCAACAGATAGTGAAGTTTTCTCCGAGAAACTAAATAAATCTACATATTAAAGGCTTTCTGTTCACTGTAGTGTTTTTTAGGCGAAAGTGATCGGTATTATGAAAGCTATGGCTTGTCTGGAAGTGGATAATATATTGAATAGGAATATATTCATACTATCAAACAGTTAAGCTGCTAAAAGTTCTTCAGTTCAGTACAATTTAAATCTATGATGGTTTCTAACTGCTGCACTTCATCAATGAGATGATGAATAAGGAATATTTTAAGCAATTTCAATGGAGATGTGTTGATTAATGCTTTAGGTAATCATTCGGAACATCTAAAGAAACTGTCCATACCGCTGGCATCATGTTATTCATTCTTCAGAAGTGTGTATTCAGTGAACATATATATAAGATAGTCTCACATGGTGGCTTTCAATAGTAAGTAAAATAATACACCAGAGGCGGCATAAGATGAGATATAACTTTTTGCACTAAGCTCTAATAAAAGAAGTGCAATGGTGTACTATAAGAAAGCTTAATTTCAGTAATTTAAGGATGTCTTAATGGTTGAAGAAGGGTGATTTTTTTTTAATATAAAAGTGCAAAAGTCTTGAATTTTAACATTTCTTGATTCTTGATTTAACATTTCAGTAGTCATTAGCAGTGATATGACACAATTAATATTAAATATTTTTTTATTGTGTTTACTTAACAAACGTAAACTTTTTCTCAACTCATGAACACAACGGTATATTTATTTTAATATTTTCTTAATTAGAAGATTTAGTTAGAAAAAAAATCTAAAATATATTTATCTCTTGACTTGTTAACACAAATTAATAATAATCAAGCGTTTTTAAGTAGCACTTAAAATTAGGCCAACAATTTATATTTTTCTTAACTTAGAAGTGATAACGGAGCAGAAAACTATCTTAAAAAAAAATATAAAAGCTTTTCTTTACTTTTTATGATTTTTGAGAAAATTAATTAGCGAAAAATTATTTAAAAGAAATTTTAAGTTTGCATGAAATCTTACGTTTTAGTACCAAAAAGAATTGCAAAGGAATTGCAGGAGAAGTTGAATCCTTAAAAATAATTCAAGCAATTTCTTCAAGTACGCAAAGTAGGGTGGGGGCTTTTTTATTGTAAAGAAATTAAATTTATTATAATAAATTTATAAAAGAATAATTTATGTTTTTTTATTTATTTAAGAAATTTTATAGTTTACATTTCTTTCATTTATTAAAAAAAAAAAATTGTTTTGTGGAATTAAAATCTCTACCTTTAAAATCAAAAGAGTGAATGAGATTTATGATGAGTAATTCAAGTTTTATACATAGAATTTATAATTTAATACTTTATAATATTATTTATGCATAGGATTCATATGTTTACCGCAATACTTTATCATCCCTACGATCAGAAAGAAGGATAATATAATGAGGTGTACATATTAATCCCTTTTATATATTTTTATATGACAAACAATACTTTTCATCATCATCTCATAAAGTCATCGTTTTAGTTTAAATTATACAATATTGTTATGTAGCACTTTTGTGCATTTTAAAATCACTTTTTGCTAAGCTCTACAAATAATGTATAAATAGTAGCAACAATTTGATTACTTAGCGAATTAGATATTCTGCGATATCAAATTTAATATGAAATACTCATTAACTAATTAGAAGTTCATGAATGTGTTCCTTATATCTTGATTAATTAAATGTACTATAATATATATTTTTTTTTAAATTAAACTATATAAGTATGTAAACAATATAAACTAGACTGTACAATAAATGTTTATATATAATATTTTAAACAAAATAAAGCTATTGACTTGTTGTATTAAAAGATATACTCTCAACTCTCTCTCCCTTAGCTTTACTTTTTACTAATTTTTTGTTGTTTTTTTTTTTGATGTTTAATTAAAGTTTTTAGAAAATTTGTAAAAGTTCTCAGACAAAAAAATTGTTATAAACTTCCATAGAAGTTCCATGGAACAATGGTCGAAACTGTTGTCATGTGATTCAATTTACACCAACTGCAGTAAAATAAAACATGCTAAAAATGTTCAGATATACGAGTAACAATGCCAAAAATGACAGCAATTGTTGCTGTTGCAGTTGTTGTTGTTATTATTGCAATTGTTGTTATTGCTAGTGTTTCTGTTGTTGATGCTGTTGCCTGTCATGTGCATATTGTGATCATAATCATTTTGTAGGTCCATGGAGGGTATTTATCTAGATGAGCATTTAGTGCATAAGCTAACTACTACAGATGCGTATTAAAATGCACATTGCAGAAGTATGGAATGATGCACTTCATAACTGCACTGCGTACCGCACATTGTGTGCGCTTCTGCTTACGGACCAAATGCACATCTCGGAAAATTTGCTTTGGGATATTTGAAAATAATAACAAAAGGAACCACTACGGAATATACTGTCACCTGTTGACTAGTCTGTGATATTACTATGCATATGTCACATGCAATGTGGGCATGCATGAAAAAGTGGTATTTGAACTTCTATTTCATCCATTCCAATGAATGGAAAACATTATTAAAGAATTAGAAATAAAATGTGTAAACATTTTTTATTGTTTTTTTTTTTTGCATTATTTGGGTAAAATGCTTGATTTAAGTACTACCGAGAAATTCTTAAAGTATTTAAATTAAATTAAACATTTTGAATTGGCACAAAATATGATTGCTTTCTAAATAAAAATAAATTTTAATAAGAAAAGTTAATAGATATTTTAATTTGTATGAGGTTAGGTTAGGTAAGGTGAACTGGAGGGAAGAACGAATCCTTCTCAGTTAGATAAGAAAACCGATTTGAAGGATGGTTAAGCAAGAACCAGCCAGAAGCATCTATAAAAGAGAGCGTCTGTCCAATGCTACTCCTGGAGGTATAGCTGAGTGTTTTGAAAAGTGTGTTTTATTTGAGTATTAAGAGAAAATGCTATCATATAGCCATTATGCTATTAAATTTATACTTTTGATATATTGGAAACAGTGTTAAATTTTATATCAAGCAGTGTGATGCATATTATTTGCTTCTTCAGATCGTCAAATTAAGTGCGAAATTGATTTTTGTAACTTTGCGATAACTGTATGAAAATTGATTTTCATTAGAGAAAGATCAACTTATATCTTAGATTTTATATTAGAAGAGATAGTTACAGACAGATATTTATAAAATCTTTTGTGCTAATATCCCTACTAAAACTCTGTGAATTTAAAACTACTGATAAACTTGATATCTTCTCTTTCGAGACGATAGATTGCATTCGGTTCAATGAACGTGCTATGAAGATATTGGACTTGTTCACTAGCAATAGAAAATATAAAGAAACAAAATGGACAGGTGTTTTATATTGTATTTCACAGTATCTATAGATGCCAGTGTTTTTTATACTCATCTTCGTCAAGCGATTGTTAATAAGAACTTGTCTAGTTAAAATCAATGATTAATTTAAGTTCAGATCTCAAGTCAGCTGAAATCAGCTGAAATAAATAAACTCTTTTCGGCATAAGACACCTCCCATTGACAAAAAAATTATTATTTAGTGAATTATATTTTATTATTTATCCTAATTGAATCTTACATTTATAAATAGTATCATATAGTTCCATATAAGTATGTACTCGATATGTTTATACCATGTACCAAATACTCATAACGAAGTCTAATGTAATAAGAAGGCCCTAATTGTGATTAGAAGGATGGGCATATTAGAACCAGCCGGATGCATTGGTAAATGCAAAAATTCGGCCAATAATAATACTGAAGATATCGCCGAGTGTACTATAGATTGGGTTGCCCAAAAGTTTCAGCCTGTTTTTGGACAAGGCTGCATATATACACATAAGGTGCTTCGGTGTAACCTCTTCGAGCGCCGGCAAGCATGTCTGACAGGAGATTTGACAAGGCAGTGTTTCAGATAGATATTATTTCAGATACTTCTAGTTTATTTCTGTATATAGTTAGACGAAGTTTCTACATTTGGAGTAAAAGGTGTAGCTCTTGACTCGGTTGCTCAAAAAATATGAGCCCAATTGCCTATTGCAAAAAATGACCATATATCAAATTTCGTCTGTGGATGGCAGGTGTAGGGATTGAAATAGAAGATTTCATAAAAGAGGAGATCACATATCCGTTAATACTTTTACTTTTAAATTAAAATATTATTTTGATCATTTTTGCGGTTAACAAAAGAATTTATTTTCAGTAATAAATCAATAAAATTGTTCCCGACAAATACTATATCTTAGATACTTCCAATTTATTCCTGTCGATGGTTATACTCGTACATTTAGAGTATAAGAGTTATGTAGCTTTTGACTTGGTTACTGAATATATATGAGTCCACTTTCTATTTGCTTAGCATAAAAATATATCAACTTCCATCTGTGTTTGGCAGGAGTAGGCATTGAAACACGTGGTTCCAAAAAAGAGGAGACTAGTCACATATCCGTTAATGCACTTAATTTTTTGTTAAGACTTTTTTTCATGATTTTTTGCGACTAGCAAAAAAATTTGTTTTCAGTAATAAATTCGAATAACGAAAATAATAATTATTAAATATTATTTTAAATTTTATTCGCAAATAATATTTATTTTATTTTAATATTTTAATTACTTAAAAGGCTTTTATGTAAATTAAAATATACATAACGCACTTTAAAATAAAAAATTTGAGTTAATTCAATTAAAATCCTTTCAACGAAATTCTTTTCAATTTTTTAGCATAATAAATATTGTATGAGAGTAATTGAAGCTATAACAACTCGTACATATAGACAAGTATCTCAAAGCTGCATTCATATAGTCAATTACACAGTCATAAAAATCAGTTTGA